ATGTCAGTGACTTTTTTTTATCTAAAAGGTAAAGTATGGGCTGTTGTTTGTCTGCCACGTGTACGCCTTTTAATAAAACCTCTAAATGTAGTTACCACAACAAATTGCATCTCTGTCAGATTTATTTCAGTAGAAACAGATTAATGGCTGCAGACAAATGTATCCATCATGGTTATGTCGGCCAGTTGAAGATTTGCTTTGTTCTGTTCGTCCTGAGTCAGTGTGGTGCACAATGTTTACGAACGACTTACAGAGCAAAGACGAAGAAGTCTTGTCCAAAAGAGGGAGAAAACAGATTTTCGCTTGGCTTATATTGTTCTGAAAATACAAACAAGATTGATGTCAGTCTCTGAACGATGTTGCTAACAATGTGGAATGTTCAGCTGTGCCGAAAACAAATTCCACAGACCGGGATCATTGAAGGATATGGCTGCTAATATTCTAAAGTTATGTTACTGTCAACGGATCCCCTGAAAAGACCAAAACAAGCGACACATTTCTCTCACTAACAAGTATTGTTTGTAGCCAAAGAATAAATATCTTCAACGTGTTCTCATCCAAAGTCGTCACGTAGCGTTGCTTTGTCAGTGGACTTTCATGTCTACCTATTTCATACTATGAATCATCCTGCGTCTGCTGTTGACGTTCCTGGACGCCGCTACCAATGCCAGGATATCACTGGTGTACGTTACGTTTAGGCAACAAAAGCATGTGGTTAGGTTTAGAAAAACACAGGCCCCAGGGTGAAAGTCCAGGGTTTGTTGGACTCATCCACCACCCCTCCTGCCAACCCTATAGGGGCTTTCCAGCTCCTTGAGTTACTTAAGCCCCGTACAGTTCAGTTCAGTGCGCTTTTTTTCCCGTTTCCACTGTGGAAAGTTGTGGATGGTACCAATAGAACCGTTCCGTACCGTCCCCATGTTTGGTTCCCCCTCTGTTGGGGTACCTAGCACACAGATCTGGTACTAAAAGGTGGAGCTGTGAACAATGAAGTCTGATTGGTAAATAGAGGACGATCACTCTGCTCAGGGCTGAGTTGTGACTAATTTTGAGGCTCATGTAACCACTGTTCATACTGTGGAGAGTTTTATTAGTAAACTGTAACTATAAAATGAAAGGATGTTTTGCTGCCTCTCAAAGCCGCTGGAGTTGCAGAAAAAACAATTTCATTCACTGGGCCGACTGCCAGCGACTTTTAAGGTGGAACGTTTACTTATAATGGTACTCAATAGGCCCGTTTCCACTGAAGAAGTTCCTGGTACTATTTGGAGGGCAGGAACTACTACAGGAATGTCCTCTCATTCGGCCCTCTCAACTGCCGTGTCTCCACTGAGTGGAGTACGAGGAAGTTTCCTGTAAAGTTACGGGCTGCCTCTGGATGTGACGTAATCATTGCGCGACCATTTTGACCGGGACGCCATTAGCTGATGTCTGTAATAACTCACTAAATGGCCCGTGAAAAAAATATTTTTTTCCAGCGGATGTCTTAGTTACAACATGATTGAGCTAACTGGAGTAGTTTCATGTCGTATCCGACAACGGGAGGCTTTTAACAGATGACGTCCTGATGTTAGCTTTGCTGCTGCTGTTAGCCGATGCTTTCTAGACATCGTGATTTCCCAAAACGATTTCCCAAAACTGAATAAATACCACACATATCAACACAAAACTGCTTTGCTAGCTCAATCATGTTGTAACTAAGATATCCGCTGGAAAGAATATTTTTTTCACGGGCCATTTAGTGAGTTTTTTTTATATGGCGGCGAAAGCTATATGAACGAGCTAACCCTCGTCTGCTGAGTTTTAAAAATGCCGGCTATTTTGTTGCTTTCTGTTGACGTCACATCCCTCCTTGAGTGTCATTAGTCATACTTCTACTGTTATTATACACATATGACTATTGTCACACAAGTATACTGTCAGATATTAATACATACTTTCAACATATTGTACCACAGTAGCCAGAACTATAATATTATTACTTTCATTAATGTTGTTGTAAGCTACTGTTATTACCTGCATCTCTCTCTCTCTCTCTCTCTCTCTCTCTCTCTCTCTCTCTCTCTGTCTCATTGTGTCATATGGATTACTGTTAATTTATTATGCTGATCTGTTCTGTACGACATCTATTGCACGTCTGTCCGTCATGGAAGAAGGATCCCTCCTCAGTTGCTCTTCCTGAGGTTTCTACCGTTTTTTTTTCCCCGTTAAAGGGGTTTTTTTTGGGGAGTTTTTCCTTATCCGCTGTGAGGGTCTTAAGGACAGAGGGATGTCGTATGCTGTAAAGCCCTGTGAGGCAAATTGTGATTTGTGATATTGGGCTTTATAAATAAAATTGAATTGAAATTGAAATTGAATTGAGTATATTCAATCAGCACCAAGTAAACCCCAAGCCCCAGCCAGGAGTCTTTCGGGGCAGTTCTGAGTACCTACCCCGAGGCAGCGACTTGTTTAGCCCCCGTAAAAGTTTGGGGGTGGTTCCTGCGGTGGAGACACGCACCAACGGCCCCGGCCCCGTAAAATTACCCCGAAGTTCCTGCGGTGGAAACGGGCCTAATGCATGAGTTGACGACGTGAATCCATAAACACACCTTAAATTTCACTGTGACAACTCTGACCATTACTTTGGTTTTTATATGTTACACACTTTTAGTAATGGATGGATCTTCAAGCGTTTATATATATTGATTCTGACCGGGTTATGTGAACTGCATATATTCTAATCCTCACTTGGAGAAAAAAACAAAACAATGTTGCTGAGCATCAGTGTCGACGCCGAAATCACTGACAAAGTATTAATAGTAGTATTTAGTATAGTATTTGACAACGGGAACAGGCTGAAATCTTCTTCCTCTGCGCCAGAGAACTCCATTGTTGTCCAAAAACTATTAAAAGCACATCAGTGAGACACACTGTTGCACTGGGTGACATGTTTCTTCATCACCATGAGCACACACTGTAGTTAATTTAGACTCAGTCCCACATACACCATCCTGCTGCCCCAAATACTCACGAAAGCACCTGTGGAGGTGGTTGTGGTTAGTGATCAGCTGCAGGGGAGAGGTGTGGGGGGATGGCTCATGAGAGTAGTACCAGGTGAATTGATTGACACAGCTGCTGTTGGTTTGCTCTCATTACATCTCTCCCTTTGTCATGCAGTAGTGTGCTGGCCCTCGAAGGACTGACCAAGACCAAGGAGAAGGACACTGCCTCAATAAAAGTACTGCATTTAGACAGAGTGGTGAATCTGTGTGTCTGTGCTGGGGGACTCACAGATCCACAGCCGCTGTGTCAGTCAACCCACCTGGTACTACTAACCACACCCACCTCCACAGCACCAGTTGTGTATTCATCCACAGCTGAAAATAGTCCCCAACAAATGCACTATTTACACCTGTTTGGATGACATTTCCTAAAAACCACAGTGCCCAGCTAATTAAGGAAATGACTTATGACATCTGAAAATATGTAAAATAACAAATATAATATGTCACATCACTTTTGGACACATCTGCTCTGCCTGCTCACTCTAGTTATATACAATATGGTGCTGGAAATAATTTAATAGAATCAAGCAGGAATATTTACATCAGTATTACTGTAGATTAGCCTCTGTGTTAAGAACACACACACAGCGCTACAAACAAGGAGAGTGAACATCCCTCAGTATATATAGTACATAATACTAGACATACCTACTGTGGGGTCACTCATTGGTTTGTGGACTGCTGTTTTGAAGCCTTGAGTTTGGCATTTTGGCTGTCACCATCTTGGCTTTTTGGCACCAGAGGTGACCTTGGGAGGGGCAGATCTGACTCACAGCCTGCAGCAACGCCTCGCAGACAGCCTGTCACTTAAAACGGGATTTATACTTATGTGTCGAATCTGCGCTGTACCTATGGCGTAAGCTCTGCCCAGACACCTCCCCAGAAATGTCACTACACATCGTAGTGATGCAAACTCTGTCTATTTCTGTCAGCTGAAACCATTTCCCTCAGTGGAAATGAAGCTTTTATTTACTTTAATTTCACAGATGAGAAACAATAAATTGTGAAGACAATAAAGCCTCCACAAAAATAGCATTTTAAGTTTTGTGTGTGATTTATCCTGGCTTCATATGAGTAAATCTCTGTTATTTGCTCTGCTAATTTATACAATGTAAAATGCCATAGGCTTGTGCTAATAACGTTAGCATGTTGTATTTGTTTGGAAAATGTGTTTAGTATAAAACAGTTGTTTTGTCGGTGAACCTTGTGAGTTGTAATGGAGCCAAATTTTCTAATGTTACCTTTGTTAAATGTTGCTGTTGTTCCTGGCTTCATATGAGTAGAGGAAATGTTTGCTAGCCACTAGGCTAATTTATACAATGTAAAATGCCATAGGCTTGTGCTAATAATGTTAGCATGTTGTATTTGGGGGGAAAATGTGTCCAGATAAAGACAAGTGCTTGTCTGTGAATGCTGCGAGTTATAGTGAAGCTGATTTGTGTACTTGTGTTTGAAACTGTCTCTATTAAGCCATGTTTAATGTGTGTTTGATGTGTGTTTTGGAACAACTAAACTTTACAGCACTTAACAGAAACCCCACCACCAACTAATGTTTTGGAGGTGTAACTGCAGAGTGACAGACACACCACCACACAAGTGTAAATGCTCACACTGGTGTAGGCCACGTGCATAGGCTAGGCTGTAGGGTCTGCATAGAGCTAATGCACAAGTATAAATCCCACGTAAGTATGCTTAACTTTGAGCCTTTATAAAATGTTAATGAGTGAATAATAATAAAATTCACCCCCTGTACAGCTGTCATGAATGTTGAAACTAGCTATTGAGACCAAACTGTGTTTGGTACCAGGAAAGTGAACATCCTGCAGTTCATAAGAGATAAATATCTTTATGCAGTATATTTTGGTATTTCCATACAGTACACTCCACTTATATTTCTCCACCCAGATTAATTTGAAGTCGTGCATGTGCTGAACTACACAGGATCACCAGCAGTAACAAATTAGGACTCTTTTTATTTGAAATTGTTCACCTTTTACACACTGACAGTTAATATACACAAGCCTTTGTGGTCCCTCTGGCCCGAGACACGGTCAGTGACAATGTGTGCTGGATATCAACTAGAATGGCTTATGGTGGATGGGAAGCTCTCTCTTTCTCACACACAAACACACACACACACACACACACACACACACCTACACACACTGCACACACACTCATACACACATGGACAAGCACACATGCAGAAGTACACACTTGCACACACACAGATATGCGAGGACAGATACAAAAACACACGTCACGACACGTACTCTAACAATCTAACACAGCCTAGCCATCTAATGTAGACATCAACAGAGGAGGGGCTTAAAGTGCATACAGGAACAGAGGAGGGCCTTGTCTCGCTCTTATGATCAGTCACAGCCTTTTAAATTATGAGCGACAGTAATCCTCCGCTAAAGCAATGATCTTAGTGCCGCGCTGTATCTTTACAAAAAGCATATCCCTACCATATTTTAGCTCAAACTGTGCCTTGCATCATGAAATAATGACACTGCATAGTTCACGGGGTTAGTCTTATACATTATTGCGGTACAATGTAGGTCCGGGTCCGGGGTCTGAGAATGAGCCATGGGCTGCAGGATGGTACAGAAAGCAGTTATGCTGTGGCCCGGGTTTTCAGTGGGATTAGAGAAATAAATCCAGTATGAGAAAGCGCCCAGTGCTGCGCTGCAGTCTGCTTCAGCTTTAAATGTGGGATAATCCATATGAGGAGAGGTGAGAAGGTGTTCCTGGATGCATAGAAGGAGCGCAGATGCTGTCACAACTCCTTGGCCTGGTCAGGGTGGAGCACATGGTTTGGTCCTTGACAGGCGGCGCAGACCCGCCCGGGTCAAACAGGTCAGTAAGGGGCAAATAGGACTTGTGGGTGGGAGGTCCTGACAGGCCCGGGGGCCGGGCGGAGCAGTGCAGCGGTGAGGGTCTGTGTCTGGAAGAGAGTGGGGGTCGGGGCGTGGGTAGTGGCGTGGTTTGTGCGGTGTGTGAATGTGTTGCCGATGGCGGCGGCTGCTGCCACTGCCGCCAGGTGAGCAGGTATGATCTGCGTGGTCAGAGGTGGACACTGGCGCTCCTTACCCAGGGACAGCTTTAGCTGTAGGAAGACAAGACACAGTCAGTACAGTTTACATGTACACAGGGTGGACAAAATAATGTGAACACATCCTGAAAAAGATCTAAATCGACATTGCAAATTCTGCCACAAAGCATAATCATGCTTTTCCCTGGGCTAGAAATCCTTTCAGCACTACAAATACCAAAACCAATAGAGATCATATTTTTCTTCAAATACCCAGTTAGAGGGGAAAACAGACAGAGACAAATTTCTTAACTGTCCAGCCTAATTTATCAGCCAATCAAGATTTCGTTTGTATCTTACTGTTGTCTCAAGAACTGATTATTTCAGACAAATACACATTTCTAGGAGAAATAGGCTGGACAAAGAAGAGCTCTTATTTTGAATTTTCCTTTCCTCTGTGCCCCTCCACCTCCTGATGACAAATTCAGCTTGTTTTTTACGTCACTTTAAAAGTTGATATGGTGTGTATGAAACGTGCAAATGTAACATATTAAATCAGTTTGAAGACACATTATGGTGCCAACATTTTCTTCCGGTGACTGGGCTGAATTTTTAGTGCGTAGTGATTTGCCAAAGATCAACAGAAAGTTAATCAACAACAATTTTAATGTGTGAGTAATCATTTAAGCTTCTCAAATGGGATGATTTGATTTTGGACTGTTCATCAGACTAAAAATACAATCTGAAGACGTCATGTCGGACTCTGAGATGGCCTACAATCTGCTCTTTGACAACGCAGCTTATCCATTTTGTTGATTTCCCCAACTGTTACAATTCAGGATCAGCAGAGACAGCATGCTGGTGTCACAAACATGAGATTTATTGCAAGAAACAGGAATAAACAGAACGCTCGGTGGCTGAGGACACTGCTGCTGTAGTGAAGCCTGCAGGCACAGTGAGAGTCGGGGCCAGGGGATCAAACAGGTGCCAGAAATCAGCTGCTAATTGCTGAAAGTGTTGCAGGTGATCTGTGAGACACCAGAGCTTAAACAGGAAACAGCCATAGACAGCAAAGTCCTTTACATTGAATGTAATTGTTTAATGGCTTAACTTATATACCTGCAATTTGGGCATGAGGCATTTTGGAAAATCGGGTGAATCCAGATCTCTTCTATATCTGACAAAGGTTCTGCTGGCAGAAGTGTTTGTGTTAGTTAAAGTCCTTTTTTGCACATTGAAATAGAAGACTTGCTCAAAGGGCATCGAGTTCTGTCGTTTTTATTGAGAGAGAATATGAAAGGACAAACAGAAAAAAGGGCCCAACCTACAGAAACAGCCTAATCGGGTGAAAAGGTCACCAAAGTTATCTGGCTTAATCTTCTGTATCAGTAATGGAAAATCTACGGTCTCACAGCACCAGGATGGCAGCCGTTGTCATGGGTTATCAATCACTGACTCAGGCATCGTAACCCTATGGGAAGCATTCTTTACTCTCCGCTCATCAAAGAAGCTCCTCTCCGTTAACTCAGTCAATGATGGGTTTCAGAAAAAGTCATTTCCCCCACACTGGTAACCCCCGCGCTTCGTCTCGGCAAACAGTGGGTGTGATTAATGCCGTCTTCTGAGAGCGTCTGCAAAATGGAAAGTCGGGCTCTCCTCTATCTCTCCCACATTGAAGCCACATGGCTCCTTCATGCATCCTACCAATCTTGTGTCATGTGGCACTCGAAAAAACAATTTTTAAAATTTGTTTTAACTCCTGGAGTGCAAGAAGGCCACACAGGACAGCGAGAACCAGAAAGTTAAACAATCACCTCCAGGAAAGTGTTTGAAGTTCACTTCTCTTATTCCGCGGTTTGTCAACTTGCCTGACACTAATTCTGCCTTGATGCGGCAGACCACACGCTGAGCTTCTCCGAATAAGTTCAAACCGACGTTTACAGTTACTTATAAATAGTATTGGACCAGAGACTGCATTCCGCCTGCAGCGTGCTGCCTCGGAGGAGCCTTGATACACGCCGTTTTTGTCAATAATATATCGAGTTTTCAAATTAAATCCCGCTGTTCCCTGCCAGGGATCTTTAATAACAGCCAGGTAACAGGTGATCTGGTCATGAAAGTTGACACTTTATTGAATAAGGTGGCGTGAAGCGGATTAAACGTGGCTTATCACAGAACAGACACTTAAGCAGAGGTGTGAGGGATTTTTTGTTATTAAGCAAAGAAACATTAAACTGCCAGATATCTACATGCAGTGCTCTCTCCCATGCAAATAGAGCAAGACAGAGTGGTACATATTGAGGTTGGGCACAGGCCTGTGCTTTTTATGTGACTGCAAAGTGCAGAGAGCGGCTGGAACGGGAGAGTGACAATGAACTCAATCTCAGATATCAAACAATAACTGTTTCTCATGGGTTGCTACGTGTGTCTCCTAAGAGGCCATTAGAGCTGAGTCACTGTGACTGTTGTGTTGACACCAGGACTTCTGTTGCTGATAAGATGACTGAGGCGTGCAGTGACTCACCGGCTGCTTGGTCTGGCCTTTCTGCGGTTTGCTGTAGGGGCTGTATTTAGGTTTGGCTGGTTTACCTGCTGCTCGGTCTTTATGACGCCGGCTGCTGATGTGCTGAAACAGAGACAGAAAACAAGTTTCAGATGACGCAGGCAGGTCCTGAGTCACACTGTATGGCCCAGTTCAGATATCATCAGCCCATTACATGACTGTTATTAGCTGTAATCACTATCACTGTAATGCTTTTGATGGGGCTAACTGCTCTTATCAGTGGGCCAGCAGATGCATATCCAACAGTGTTAAAAAGTCACAAGGTTTCATTTTCTTTAGGAACCAAAACTACTTGTGTAGGTTTAGGAAAAGATCACGGTTTGGTTTAAAATAAGTACATTTGTTACTACTCATCACATGTTCCACCACAAATGTAATTTACATGCTGAAGCAGAGAAGCAGAATATGCATTAGTAATGTTTCATAGTCTTTATTGGCCCTAAAACTCTCCTGCATCATATTATCATTCATTGTAAGTTTGAGAGTGATGCAGGGGACTGTAGTGCAGGAGAGGTGAAGGGTTGGTTTGACATGGAGATACAGAGTATTCTTTCCTATTCAACTACTCTATTAGCATCTTTACTCTTATTTTCATTATCCTATTTTTTTCATTCACTTAAAACAATCTTACTATGATGAAAAACTCTGTCTGTGTGTCTGTTCCATGTTTTTCTCCTCACTGACTTGGTCAATCCATGTGAAATTTGGCACAGTGGTAGAGGGTCATGGGAGGATGCCAATGAAGCAATATTACATCAATTGGCCAAAGGGGGGCGCTATAGCAACCGATTGAAATTGCAAACTTTGAATGGGCATATCTCATGCCCCGTATGTGGTAAAGACATGAAACTTTGCACAGAGATGCCTCTCCTCATGAGGAACACATTTGCCTCAAGAACCCATAACTTCCGCTTATATAGATTTTCCGCCATTTTGAATTTTTTGAAAAACACTTCAAATGGATCTCTTCCTAGGAAGTTTGAGCGATCTGCATGAAACTGGGTGAACATAATCTAGGGACCAATATCTAAAGTTCCCTCTTGGCAAAAGTTGGAAAACTTACTAAAACTGAGCTTCTATAAGGCAATGAATATTGCGGAGGGCGTGGCTCATCACATAAAGGTGTATAACATCTCAAGGGTTTCACCCATCACCACGCAACTTTGTAGGCATATGACCACACATAATCTGAGGGGACCCCTCCATTATTGACCCCATCAAACAAAATGGGGGCGCTAGAGAGCTCATTTCTTATCTAGGCCTAACCGCCATATGGATTTTTACTAAACTTGGTAGATATGTAGAACAGGACGCCTCAAGGTGACTGGAGAAATTTAACTCTAATTGGCAACTGGGTGGCGCTATAACAACAGAAAAATGCTTCAAAATGGCTAAAATGCGACCGATCGCTGTGGCTCCCCCTGTGGACCAATGTTGTTGTTTTTCTAATTTTTGGTATGACTAAGTGATGGTATGGTATGCTGTACTCAATGGGTATGGACTAGTTTATTTAAATAAAAAAAAAATGCAATATGAAATGATGAAGTACCAGAAAAAGGCATCCTGTACGTCTTAGATGGGATGGGATTCACATACAGTGCAATAGTGGAAACTTCTGTTTGTTATGGTTGAAAACATCATGGGAAATTGGTGGTTATTGTGTTTATGGTCCAGTCCATGAGCCCAGGTCAGAATTTTCACTAACTGGTACCACCCAAAGTGGCAAATCCTAGTTTGGTATTATGAAAATACTATAATCTCTAGATTATAGTTTAGTCATTGACATCGACCTTCAGTGGCACTAACAGTTAAACCAAAGAATGAAAAAGCCAAGGCATCTTTCAAGTCTGGTCTCATTAAAGATCTCAGTTTGAGTGCATATATGCATCATGGTTTTCATGGACAAAAATTTGTACATGCAGAAATTGAACGATAATATGCTTTAAAATCTAATTTTTCTGACTTTGTTTGGATTAAAAAAAAGGTCATTTTGAGGTACGGGTACCCTCTAATTGCACATTCATGACAGGTCATATCTGATGGTTATATGTGAACGAACATCCTAAAAAAACTAATCTTTAAACATAAATAAATGAAAATAGCATGTTCAGAAGCAGGATATGCGCTTCTTTGTGTGACGCTGTGACATAGTGGCCCCAAATTTCCAGCACTGAGTTTACTTTGATCCACCAAGTATATAATGGTGTACTTTTAATATGTTATTTGGATGTCCCAAGAGATCAGAATGATTACTATGCAATTTTCCCTGGGTCAAACCACAGGGTGAAATGATAGAGATTACCCAGTAGCAGTACATTTCAATGACATCAAACATGATATCTCATTGTTTAGGTTCCAGGACACTGAAAACGTCCAAGAGACCAATTTGAACATTCTGAATGATCTCTGGAAGCTGCAAGGCTGATGTGTTCACTCATTAGATCAACATTTTTTGTAAATAATCTTGTTAATAGCCTCTGTTGTGTGGAGAGCTTGAGTTTTCCTGTGTTTTTCTTTCGTTTGTGTGATATGGGACATATGGTGCACAGGCTGTTGTCAATTATTGAGGAACACACCCACAGCTGATTAATTCCCTCACACCTGTGCACACCTGTGAAATGTGGGGCAGTTTCTATTTAAGCTCAGTGTTGGAGACAATGGTGTTGAACACTCTTATTTGAAAATAGAATGATATATTAAATAGTGCATTTTCAAAAGCTCTTGAAATATTTTGTTACAAATTACAACTTCATTTTTTTCTGCCCGGCAAAGCACAAATTAAATACAGATTTGAAATATGTTTAATTGAGTTGCTGTCCATCTCTAAAAATACAGACCTTCAAAAACACAGTCTGTCGTGTTCTGAGGATGGCGCTAGAGGAAAAACGTGTCATTTATATCAAAACGGTCCATCAGCTGGAGAGTATGAACTTTCTCAGAAAGTCTTTTGGCAATCAGATAATTTTGATAATTCTTGTGTGCATGTGGGGCCACTCTAGCCATCAGATTTCAAAGATAGCTTGTAGGATAAATTTGCTGATCGAGGGGAAGGTTTGACCAGTTTTATGGCCACCTGCTGAGATACTGCTGGTTTACGTCCTGCGTCTTTCTCTGTACGTTCCATGTAATAGAAAAACTGTTAAAATTGTCATTATCTTTTTATTGCAGGTTCGCTGTGGTGCTTCATAGATGCCTGATACCTCAGCCCCGGGCTGGATGCCATTTCAGGGTAGATAGCTTATCATGCGTTGAGGTGGGAACCTGACCAACAGAGGAGGAGGGGGCAGGGACTAAAAATACACCTCCTGTCTCAAGGCGGAAAGTATTACAGCTTTAAAGGTTTCATTGCCACTGGAGCCACCCGTGGTGAAAATGACTGCAGTTATGGCACTGCAAAGTACAGTGCAGAGAGCATTTACCAAATGACACATTAGATTCCCATGTTTAATACAGTATGCCGAGTTGAGAGAGCACGTTGAGGAGTGATATTAAAGCTCCTCTGGTGTTGAAAGCCCAGAGACAACCAGTGGATCTGAATAAACAAGTGAAGTACAAGAATCTGGAGTGACACACACAGAAATCCTCTGTAACCTCAAGCCAATAAATAATTCAGTGTGAGTACATGCTGACAACAAAAGGCAGATTTCTGGCTGCGACTAAAGTCCTTGCAGTGGATTTAACAATCACACTTTTTCTCTGGTTTCAAGCTGTAACTCAAATTTGTCACGCTGGATTCTTTTCACTGAGAATCGCTGCTGTTTTAGAAGTACTCGGTAAAAGCCCCTGCATGAAAAATTCATACAAAGCCCATCTATTTTCAGTGAGAAATCTCAAGGTTAGCTCAGACAAAACCGAGTGGTTTTCAAGTGTTGTCGATGAAATTCCCCCCGTGACAGAATGATCAGCAGCTACAAGAAAAGAAGATTTGCGGAGTGCCCCAAAGCAACAACCAAGACACACATTCCTGGGAAGAGTTTCAGCCAAGCCACACAGAGGAAAATATCACAAGGCGATGAGATTATTGTCAGCTTCCTAGAGTAACCTGATTTCCTTATTTGAGGAGAGGGATTAGGAGAGACTCCGTTAGCTTTATTTCTGCTGGAGAAGTCTAATTTCTTGGCCATGTAAAGTATACGCTTAACCAGATTTCTTAGAAGTTTTCGCAAGAGATTTCAGGCGGGGAGAGCTTTGCTGTGACAGCAGAGCAGCAGGATAAAGGGAGAGATCATTATTAGTGGCAGCGCATCTCTGTATCCAGAAATTTTAATTTTAAATCCAACAAAAAGTGAAATCTGACACTGAAGTAAATGAGTCTAAATAAGAGGGTGTTCACAGATGAACAGCTAAATACTTTTAACATTTAGACTCATGCACCCAGTAAAGTGCTTTGTTACTACACAGCCTCAACGTGCTGTTAACCAAAGTGCACCAAAATGGAATAAATGAGCCGAAGAAAGAGTGAAATAAAAACATAAAATTGCAAGTTCTCATCTTGTTTGTATGCCAGATATGTTTCAAGGATTTAATATTGGGTTCTCTATGAAAAATTCTCTCTTATCTTCCTGTAAGTCATTACAATATCATTGATGACTCACCCTGAACGACAGGGTGTAAATACATTTGTTCTTTTACTCACACATGTGTAAACAATACACTGAATGATGACTGAATTCCATTAGGGCACGGTCACACGAGAGACCGTCCCCTGCTGAGCTATTAGTGCTGAATGTGGGCGGGGCCTGATGTGAGGCACATGCTAGATTGCTATTTTTTTTATGTATCATGCCTGTTTCCTGACTTACTGCCAGCCAAAACCAACGAACCCTGGACCTCCATGTCATCCTGTTGTTTCCCTCCATATGAGTTTTAAGCCAAACCATAGTGACTTTTAGAAAAAAAAATCTAACCATGTGCTCTTGTTGCACAAGGAAATTAACATTAAATAACGGTGTTTTACCAACGTTAGAAATGCTTTTGCACACTGAGTCAGTTTTTTTCATCCAAAATTGTTGCACGTCTAAAATGACTTACGACTTCAAGTTGTGTCAGTCATGTTTACACACTGAGGGCCTAATTCACAAAGAATGAACTGCGGCCGCTGATAGCACCTTGAATTGCACTTCACTTGCACCCGCAGTTTGCTCCGTCTTAACGTCCTATTCATGAAGGATATTGCGCTAATGATATACCAGCGCAAACACGCCCACAAAGTTTGGCAGCTGAGCGCAGTTTGCCCCTGATTTGCCCCTGATTGCAATTAGCCACATGGCATGGCAAGTGTTTGGCAAAGTACTGAATACTGTAAACCCTCATGTAGTGATGTCTGCTGGTGAGTCAGTCTAACAGTGTAGGATGGGTTGAGGCTGTGGATTTGACCAAGTTTGACCACTTTATCACTATTCCCTCTCACTTGTAGCTGTTTTTTCGTTATCTTTTGAATTTAATATGAATTATGGAACCGTTTTTGTTCACGTTTGTTTCCCCCGTTTCGTAAAATAAATTATTGAAAGTTGCTTTTGAAGTGCGTGACAGAAGTGCGTTTTCAGAACGATCGCAGACTGTCACCTGTTCAACGCATCAGTACCTTTGGATGCCATTAAAGTAATAATGATTATAATAATAATGTCAAAATATTATTTACAGACTGATTTAACAGACGATCATTGCTGCCACGATCACTGGAAAGTCTGGGCGAGAGGCTTCCACAGAGGAGCGCCCAGTTTGCACCAGCTTTCTAAAGACGTTATTTACTTCACTCAAACTGCGTGTGGCTATTAGCGCTGGTGTGAGTGAATTAGACGTTGTTTATCAATGAGGCTCATTTGCATAGAAAGGGGCAATTTTTGCACCAAATATATGCATATTACCTCATTTAAATACGTGCAAATAACACCGGAGCACTGAGACGCAATCTGCTTGGTAGCGCAGTTAGTGGAGCATTTCACTCTCTGCGCGTGCTTTGTGAATTAGACGGTATCTGTTTGCTCCATTTTTATGGGTTTAGCGGCCGCAAAAGCCACGCAATCCTTTTGTGAATTCGGCCCTGAGTCCAAAACTTTCTTTCGTCATTAAAATTTTCAAAAGAGGTTCGATTTGCAGCATTTTTCGCATCCGTCAGAGCGCTTAGAGATGTTTGACCAAGAATCAGTCAAGAAAATATGGCGGCAGGAAACAGAGGAACGGGGCACACAGAATCATTTGGTAACTCACACAGCAACTTTCAGCAGGTCAGATAATAATATTCAGGTGGATGATGATGAAGAGGAGGAGGATGTGGACCATACACAGAATGTGCAGGACAGCTCCGCCCCTTGATGCAGCTGCGGTGCCAAATGAAAGACAGGGAGGGAGTGGTGACAACCAGACAGGTAACTCCGGTGGAGAGAGGCAAAGGAGGAAATGTGTCTTTTCATTTTGTCACATATTGCGAATTTTCATTTTCATTTTGCAAGGTTTCTGTTTTTTTGGATGACAGAGAAATACATTTCAGATGTATTTTGTATAAGACACAATGCACGTAACAAGCGTAAATAGACTCGCCATCCCGGAACGTCAACAACTGACGCAGGAGGTTACCTGGTGTGTCATATTTAGACGTGAAAATCCACTGACAGAGCTGCAATATTTGACGAATTCGGATGAGAATGCGTTTGTATTTTCTATGACCAATGTCAAACAATATCGGCTTGTTAAACACGGCAACAGTCAATGTCTCCTCCACACACACTTCTTTCCTGTTGCGACTTCAAAGTTCACCAAAGTTGAAGTCAGCACAATGCAAAGATTTGAGTTTGCTTTACGACTGGAAGCAAATTTTTTATTCATCCATTGAATGGAAGTGAATGGCAAATGAATTTTGCCCTTAAGCTGCCTTAGTTTTAGGTTCTTTGTATCACTGCTTACTGGGACACTAAAACTGAAAGGAACCACTGTTTTCTGAGTATGACAGATCAAAATATTTACTGTGAAAAAGGCCTGTTACTTGGTACTTGCTGAGTCATGCCCATGTTTGAGTGACTCAATCAAATCTTCAGGATCTGATTTAAATCTGCCCATAAATTCAGTTTTATTCTGAAATATGTGCATTTAAAGAATAGTTTTATAAGAGCGGCATCAATCTCCTCATCTGACTCCATAGCAATACTGCGAATAAGCTTATTTCATAAAATATGGATTATTTTGTCAAAGACAAAGTGATAAATAATGATGAAATGTGGTGAAATATTACTTTTGTGCTGCACCAAAATGGATCTCGACAATCCTATATGCCAGTCCAATCTGTATCTGTCTTTCCTTCACCAGCTCTTTATTTTCCCTGAATTATTTAAAAAAAAAAAAAACTTTAGTTAAAATTAAACATGATTTTATGTGGAAAAGTTAGGAAGGAAGATGTTAAGTCAGAGTTTTCAAAGTGTGCCTCTGTGCCTCTCACCTGTTTTAGCTGAGTCTCTGAGTTCACATGCACATCACACGTCTCACAGTAAAACGTTTTGTTCTGCAGGCCCGTTGACGACTTGGTGGTTGTAGCCAGTTTGCTTTTGACTCCCGGCCGGGGGAAGGACTTGATGGAGCCCACGCCGGTCCTGGCCTCGAGCATCGTCTTGTGCTTCGTACCTGCAGGTTCAAACAGGAAGCAGCGCAGTCAGTACATTAACTTCACCCCACAGAATGCCGCCTGAAGGACGTCCACGTCTGCTATCGATTTTCTGGTGTAGGAAATATGAGGGTCAGTGTGAAAAGGTCGACTTGTAAATTAGCCTAAAACGTCCCTGATCAAAAGTAGAAAAATGTGTTAAAGTCAGCCGAGCACAATGTCACGGTTCACACATATTTCTGTCTCTTGGATGTCACTGCGGGGCACTGTTTACATTAACTTTTAACCCCGGCCTTTAAGTGGCTGCGCTTTGATGTGTAAACACTATTTTTGTGTCCACCTCGATACAGCTAGTGTCAACATGTGCTCTCAGAACAGCACTCACACACAATTTCTTCAGGAACTCTAGTTTAAGATGATAAATGATGCTTACAGGAACACAGTCCACAACAAAAGCTGCCATTGTACCTTTCTGCGAACCATGGGTATGTTACATTTGTATGTTATTTATACATATCAACATTTGTAAAGCGACACAGTTCAGATTGTGTGTACATGAGCTGAGTCAGGAGAAGATGGTGGATGGCATTTAACATAGGTGAGACAGCTGTTGAGCAGCAGACAGCAGTAGACCACTGTTTGAGACCAGCAAACAAGACATCGGGACATTTTTAGTTGTGTTTGTGACAACCAAACTGGGTATTTTAAAGGTCCAGTGTGTGGGATTTCCGGGGATATGTTGACAGAAATGGAATATAATATAATTAGTGTGTTTTCTTTGGTGTGTAATCACCTGAAAATAAGAAGTGCCCTATTTAGATGGGATTAGTTTAACGTGGAGACATGGGGTAAATTAATTATTACCAGGAATTTTAGTCCTGTCCGAACGCGCCATGTCTGTAATCATTACGGATAATGTCAGTAAAAATGACAACGACTTTTACCTTCTGTAAAACGGTCCTCGGGTAATATTGATCCCAAGCGAACGCGATGATCACATAGCCCTATGTGGGAGACCAATCAGAAAGGTCGAGAAGAAAGCACTATTCAGAGCCACGAGACTTCTGGTTGTGTTCGGTAGGCTTAATATAAATCTGTATTGCTAATCATTGTGTACACACAATCCTGATCATGGGCAATATTTCATATTGGGCTAATAAACGTAACACATACAGGAAGCAACGTAGCACGCACATGCCGACAGGGAGGTGACACAGACCGAGTTACCACTCCCATCTCTGGTAGAATACGAAGATTTCTTGTCCTGTGTGAATCGGACATTTATATTACGGACATCCTGTGGTAAACTGACATTAGTCCACATCCCTATGTAAAGCTAATCCCATCTGAATAGTACTTTAGAATGAGACATTTTTATCTACGGAGACTCTTCCATAGAGCTGACCATGTTGTTTCTACAGTGGCTATGAACAGACAAACGAAACACTGACTCTAGATAGGGCCATTTGCGATGTCGCGATGGCTGCCGTAGTTTTCCTACACACTTGGCACAAAGAAGTTTCAGTTGGTTGCAATCTGCAGTCTCAGCCACTAGATGTCACTAAATCTGGCAGTAGGGGCGGCAGTAGCTCAGTCCATACTGAACCGGAGGGTCGCCAGTTCAAGCCTCTGTCCAGACCCAATATGGAGCATAGACTGGCAGCTGGAAAGGTGCCAGTGAACCTTCTGGGCACTACTGAACGACCAACTGCTCGGGGCACCTGTCCATGGGCAGCCCCCCTCGCTCTCCATTTAATGCATGTGCAGGTCCTGTTTGTGCATGTGTGTGTATTTCAGGCCTGTGTTTATATGACAACACAGTGAAAAAACTGAATTTTCCTTCAGGGATTAAAGTAAACCTTCTTCTTCCTACACACTGAACCTCAAAGCCAAAACATCATCTTTTCCAAACCCTAACCAGGTGTTTTTTGTGCCTACACCTAACCACGCATTAACCACTGCCTCCTCAGGCCATAAAATTGAAAACTGCAATGAAAAGAAATGTTTTATATTAATGTAGCATATCTGCGGTTTGCAGAAACGTAGAATGCCAACATTTATTCTGGTGATTGGGTTGAGGAACAGGGCGATACAGCAGCTGCAGCACTAAAAATAATAATGACAAGAAAAGTTATTTTCTCAGCCTGTTGTGCAGTGAGCTAGCGTCTCCTCAGTACTCTGAAATAAAAACACTATTCTGGGGATTCGCCACCTTCTGAATTAGTTTCTTTGTTTGTCTGTTTTTTGACAAAGTTGGCCCCCTCGTCCCCTCTCAGAAAAGGGACAGCTCTATCCTGTATTTACTTTTGACATGTCCAGAACTGTAGGATTGGTGGAGTCATAGCCAGCAGGTTATTTTCTATATATTCTCTGCAAAACTTTCTTTCTTGGACTCAACAACTGAACCCAAAGACTTTTTCTTCATCCGGTCCTTCACTGTTACAACAGCTAAAAGCAACACTGCTGGAGGAAGATGGAGGGTGTCCACCCATTTATCAAGAATGGCTTACAACAATGGTTCAGCTGGCTGGTTATGAGAGGGTCACAGTCTCTCTGTTGAACAAGCTTGATCAATAACTTTGAGGTCACTTGTAATCCAGAGTGGACCGCTGTGCTTCACTGTGGAGAAGACGTCAGTGTGTTTGCGTCCGCCCTGCCCCTGTTGATAGATTGTTTGACTTGGTCTCTTGTTCAAACCAAATGTTAACTATAAAAAAATGCAAAAACAGTGGGACATTCCTGTGCATGAAGCACCGGCTGAAGATGACTCAGAGTGCTGTCATTTCCCCCACTCTGTGTGCGCGAATGGGGTTTTAGAAATTAGTTTGACACGGTGATTCAGACTAAAATCTCCTGTATTTTCTAAAGTGAGGCTGTCGCACAATACCTGATCAAAGTTGGATACAAGGTTTCTATGGAAACCGCTGCCAAAATCTACCCAAAAATGTGAAAATGTGCTTTTTGTAGGCCTGACAATTATTGTTGAAGACAGCCAATATACCTCAGTAACAATGACAAAGAGCACTTCAGCAGTGATTCTCGGTGATTGTGTGGAAATCCAGCACATAACAACCTTTTCACAAAAAGCACAGCAACATTATTTTATCACTGACGCTGGTGTGTGTTTCAGATGGAAACTGCACCACATGGAAAGGAATAATCCTGCTGAAGTCTCTGTGTTTGATGAGAAAAACTTTTGTCTTCTGCACAAATCACTCATTGCTGCCAGCACACATCTCTCACCACTGTTGTGAGCCTCGAGCTGCGACGCCGAGTTGACCGCCACTTTGCACAACGAGCAGTACAGAAGACGTCGAGCTTTCTCCTCCTCAGTTTCCGCGTCCATCTCCGCCTCGGTTTCGGCCTCAGGCTCCACGTCTGGTTCTGAGGGTGAGTTGAGAGTTGAGTCTCCTCCAGCAGCTGAGGTAGTCTCTGAGGCTGTGGCCGCCGTGGTGCTCGGGACTATCGGTGAGGCCGCAGGTGCCGGAGTTGGCGGCGTGAGGGTCGTCAGGGATGCCAAGGGCAGTGCTGGTCTGAGCACAGGGGAGAGCGGTAGGGGCACTGCTCCAGGAACGCCATCTGCAGAGAGGAAATAGATGATTTGTTTTGAATCGTACGGCTCCATTCATAATTTAGGGGCAAAGATGTTTTATTCATGTAATGTTCAACCAACAGGTGGCTCAACATGATTTGTCAGACTTTGAGATGTGGACACAGAAGACAAAACATACAAACATGCAAGATTATTACCATAGTTAGATATGAGTGTGTGTTGTGAGTGAGATTAAAATAAAGTCTGATATTCTGTTGATTTGCACATGTTGGCGTGTTCGTGAGTGAACATTTTAGTTTAAGACGCTGCCAGATCCGGGTTCAAAGAGTTTGACAAAGTGAAAAAGAGCAGAACACAGATCTGAGCGATACAAACAAAAAGCAAATGAAGAGAACATCTTCACCACTTTGAAAACACCTGGGCGGCATTTAGAAAATATGCTGCAGAGTTATAAAACACGACCGAATACAGAAACGCTGAACCACTTCAGAGTGTAAGCCAGTGATACTCAACTTATGGCGCGCAGGATATGTCTGGCCCGTGACAGAGTGCAGGGCGGCCTGCCGACCATATTTCAAAATAAAATAAAGTGACTCACACTGGGAATTTTTCTGTAATGTAAATGTTAAATGAAAAAACACCTTTGAATGTAAATTAGATGCCAGAGTGCGTAAAAAAGCATCAAAATGAAGCCTCAAAACCTGGAAACGCCCCTGCGTACAACTGACCTGTGCAGGGCCTCTGCGACTGGATTTGCCTTTTGGTGATAGTAAAACATCTGATATAGGCCTCGTGTCAATTCATGTGCCAAGTCAATAAGTCAGTAAATGTGTTAATGAATAATTTTAAAGACAGATAAGTTAGTGTCCTTCTGATACATATTATTAATATTTGGTTTATGAACTGGCCCCTGGCTCCCTGTCATTTTGTGAAAGTGGCCCCAGGCAGGCTTAGTATGTCTTCTGTGAGCGCTAATAATCCAAACCACCAGAAATTAGACCCGTATAATGAAATGTAACTACATCTGCTATTTCCAAAGTTAAAACCTCCATGGCTGTAAACATTTCACAATTTCAGATTTATAAAGACAAAATTCAACATGTTTGTGTATCTGTTTGCAGCTACATGGGTATTTTAAGTCTCAGGGAATACTGTGACCTGATTTATTTTGTTTTGCATATTGATAATGACTGATGTGAACAAATCAGTCAGTTGATTGTGAAAGCACCCTTATATGTAAAAAGTAAGGATTTACATAAGTGATGAATGATGACATGGGGCAGACCACTGCATACACAGATTTATGGAGCAAAAGCAAAGCAACCATTTTATTTCTAGATAGGCAGGAACATTTGGGCAACACAGACAAAAGCAAAACAAGCAGCAGTCCAATCCAAACTGGGATCAGACTTGTCTCAAGATAAGACACCCTGTTTTTTGAGTCACCCTGATCTGACTGTATAATGATGTAAACTCTGTCTGTGTGTCTGTTCCACGTTTTTCTCCTCACTGACTTGGTCAATCCATGTGAAATTTGGCACAGTGGTAGAGGGTCATGGGAGGATGCCAATGAAGCAATATTACATCAGTTGGCCAAAGGGGGGCGCTATAGCAACCGACTGAAATTGCAAACTTTGAATGGGCATATCTCATGCCCCGTATGTCGTAGAGACATGAAACTTTGCACAGAGATGCCTCTCCTCATGAGGAACACATTTGCCTCAAGAACCCATAACTTCCGCTTATATAGACTTTCCGCCATTTTGAATTTTTTGAAAAACACTTCAAATGGATCTCTTCCTAGGAAGTTTGAGCGATCTGCATGAAACTGGGTGAACATAATCTAGGGACCAATATCTAAAGTTCCCTCTTGGCAAAAGTTGGAAAACTTACTAAAACTGAGCTTCTATAAGGCAATGAATATTGCGGAGGGCGTGGCTCATCACATAAAGGTGTATAACATCTCAAGGGTTTCACCCATCACCACGCAACTTTGTAGGCATATGACCACACATAATCTGAGGGGACCCCTCCAAATATTGACCCCATCAAACAAAATGGGGGCGCTAGAGAGCTAATTTCTTATCTAGGCCTAACCGCCATATGGATTTTTACTAAACTTGGTAGATATGTAGAACAGGACGCCTCAAGGTGACTGGAGAAATTTAACTCTAATTGGCAACTGGGTGGCGCTATAACAACAGAAAAATGCTTAAAAATGGCTAAAATGCGACCGATCGCTGTGGCTCCCCCTGTGGACCAGTGTTGTTGTTTTTTCTAATTTTTGGTATGACTAAGTCATGGTATGGTATGCTGTACATAATCACGGAAACTGTCAGTGTGTCATTCTGTCAGTCAGTCATTCTGTCTGTCCCACATTTTTCTACTCACTGACGTGGTCAATCAATGTGAAACTGCACATAGGCATTGAGGATTGGCATAGGTAGAAGGTGACCAAGCTGCCAATGGGTATGGACTAGTTTATATTTATGATGATTAAAAAATAAAGATATTCCAAACTCACAAGAAGAGTGATGAGTTATTAAGGGGGATAATTGATTATGTGCCACAGTATGTATGCCTTCATGCCAAACAAACACAACCTATGTTATTGAGAGAGACAGCTGTGCACAATAATCAGACCTTTAATCCACCATCAGCGAGTGAGATCACATTAACATGTCACACAAATAGCTTCTGTGTTCTGAGAGAAATGTCTGATATTTTTAGACATGAAGACTGCAGGGAATCAATAAATTTGACTCATAAAACAACACCGCATGTCAGCGTATGGAATACAGAGGACTTGATGCCACACATACAAAAATTTAATTTTGCCTTGGGAGCACTGCCTGATCGATGCCAGTGCCTCTGAGTTCTCCGCACTCCAGCGTCACGAAATGAAGATCAGCCAGCCAGGAGAGCAGATCAATAGTGAATTATGTCATGCTATTTTTGTGAGCCATTATATATGGTTCTTATTTATCCCAGCGGAGGTGTCGCCGGTTGGCGCCGCAAACGTGGTCCAAGTTATATCGTCACCGTCTGCCAAAGGTTAAAAGAAATACATCAGAAGTTTGGAGCAGTCGGTGTGTTTCTGCTATGACCTGTGGTGAAAGAAGTACAGACCTCCTTTACATAAGAAGAATCAGAGAGAGCTCCTGCTGAACGCTGTCTATTTATTCAAGCTGATGTATTGAATTACATCCAAGGATTGCAGCTTATTGCACTGACACTCTGGATAAAAGCTTCAGCTAAATGCTCTAAATGTATGTAAATGTATGCATTGTGGGTTTTCTCGTTTAGTATTTCAGTATTTGTGGGCATCCAATCCATTAACCTTTGAAATGGGTTTGAGGCACATTTCTACTTATTGTAATACTCTCCTCTTACAGTCGACTGGCTCCAACTGTGAAATTTGCTGCACTTTCATGAAACTCGCCGCCTTCTCTGAATGCAGATCTTTAAAGTAATGAACAGGAGCAGGTGGAAAATAAATGTACGAAAAAAAAGTACATGAGCATTGAAATGAAGGGAAAAGCAATGAGAGGGTTTGATCTACAAAACTAAACAAAATCATAAAACATATGATAACAAATGCCTGCTTTAGGAGGGTTAGTGAGCAACAAAGTAGAGCTTAGATGACAGTGATGATGGTATTTGAGAGTAAAATGAATATCTGCTAACGTAGTGTCAGCTGGTGTTCACAGGTAGAGTATATTCTACATCTCAATAATCAGTTTAGCAAAGAAACAGGACAGTAACAGTAAATGTAACTGCAGATTTCAAGCTGTGAGTCAGTGTATTGGTTGGGCTCCACAATCTGATTTTTGGGTGTTGACTGTATTTGTGCAGCAACCCTGCCTGCTCTGAATCAGCAACAAAAATACAACCAACAGCCAAAACAGACACCACCCAACGACTCTCGCAACTGCACAGACTTTGAACCATGAAGCTCAGTTTTTTTATTCTCACATCTCCTGCTTTGTTAAAGGGGACCTTATATACCTGATAGGTTTCTACTAGAACATGTTTATTTTCCTCAGACTGTCCGTGCAGGAACACCTGTATCCACCCTCTGTCTAAACAGCTCGGTGTTTGCACCTGTATGTCACAGCTGAAGTTTCTTGGGTTATGTTTTTCTTTTATTTCATTCATTCCTGTTTTATTTTGAAACTCACATCTCCTTTGGTGTCAGATCACTTCACTTCCTGCCCCTGTGTGTTTTCCCTCCCTTTTGACAACTTCACCTGTGTCTGATTGTCTGTCCCGCCCTGATTAGCCTCACCTGTGTCTCGTTATCCTTCCCCTCACCAGAGTATTTAGTGTGTGTCTTGTTTTCTCTCAGTGCCAGTTTGTCTTAGCTTCCTGTGTGTCTAGTGTTCCAGACTTTTGTTTTCCAGTGTCCTTTTCTTGGTTTTTGAATTTGCCTCCACTGATTGGCCTTCTGTGTACTGAACCTAACTATTGACCAGTGAAGTGTGTTATTTTATCCAAACTGTCTCCAGAGTCGTGCGTTTGAATCCACTCTCACCTGGTTGTTACACTGTCTTACACCCCCTTTTTCCAAAAAAGCCCAGTCTACTCTGATTAGTTTTCAGGTCTTCCACAGAGCCCTCAGGAACAGCGCCGAGCTTTAAAGTCAATTTTACATAGTGGCCAAAAGTGGAATTACAAAGTCCGGGTCTGTCATGTGATGCCATTCCCTATAGACTTACATTGTAAAAGAGATGTCTGTAAACCACTGGATAATTTTTTATGAGTGTCACAACCCCTGTGAAATGAAACGTTTCACTATCAGATTTGAATCCATTCAGTCTGATAACATTTCGAAAGTCTAGAAAAGCCGAACCATTAACTATTCTTATCCCCATTAAAGTTAGTGGAGTGCTTAACCAGATGTTAAATGCGCTTGTTTAATTGACCCCACAATATGGAAGATTCAGGTCATTTCATACCACAGAAATCAAGTTTTTTTTTTGTTTAATTTGCCACTGAGTACCATCCAGAGGAATGAACTGGGTCC